ATCCTGAGAGAATGTCAACGAACCACGTTGACAGGAGGAAATGGCCTGCCGAATGAGACCGAATTCCCTTCAGCATCTTGTTGAAAGCCGTAATGCTTCTGAATACCAGTTGCTGGAAGCCACAGGAGGGGACTAGTGCTCCTTGTGATCGAATCCTGCATGTGGGTTTCTCACAAGCATCTGGTTGGTCAACTGAACAGGATGCTGGACCAGATGGGCCGCTGGCTAGATCCAGCAGGCTCTTGTTATTTTTGTATGTTTCTCCTAATGTCCAGCCGAATGCTCATGAGAGCCGCAAGAAAGGCATGTAGCTTTTCCTCCTCCAGTGACTGCTGTTTATTGATATTCAATCAAATGAATAGATTTATTTCGGTCACTGACCAGAGTGCTTATTGATAGACAGTGCTGCCTCTGAGTGTGGAGGCTCCATTTAGCTCTCATGGCTAAATGAAGAAGACACTCATACAGCTGTTTTCTGTGAAATTGTCTAATCTCCTTTTCAAGGGAATTAGGGAGTAATTCTAGCTCCCATAGATATAGATTGTGCTGGTGGTTGACCACCTTCTGTAGTAGCCCCTCCTTTGGAATTCTTAGTGTATAGCAAATACTTTGCTTTATGAAAATACTTCTTTGCCAGAAGAGCGATTTGTTACTTGCAGCTTGGCTGTCTTTCTTTAGAAGCAATTGTGTACTGATAGGATTATTTTCTTTAATTATCAAATCTAAATTCAAGTATAGGTGATGCTGTTTCTCCCTACACAGATCATTCTATATCTGTATACGATGAATAAACTGTGGCAAATGCAGTCCTCCAAAGAGGGGTATTTTAGGATTGGCATATATTTGTTGAGATGTTTTGTTGTACTTTTATGCTGAGGGTTGGATGTAGGCTCACTTCAGTGTTACATTTTCCTAGTATTCTAGGAACTCTCAACTGTAAGACATAACTAAATTATCCTGATTATGCCTTCTTGCTTAAGAAAGTAAGTATTATCTTGGATCAGAAAAAGGTACCGTGTTCTTTTCAAGAATCTCTGCATCAGATATCCATTGAAATTCCCCCACTGTAACTTGCTTCAGGGGTGTTGCAAAAAATGCCACACATGCACAAAAGTTAGAAGAACATAAGTGCCCTACTGGATTAAAGGTAAAGGACACCTTTACTGGCCGAGAGAGCTGCCGTTTGTCCGCAGAGTTTTTCTGGGTCATGTGACCAGCATGACTAAGCCGCTTCTGGCGAAGCCAGAGCAGCGCACGGAAATGCCATTTACCTTCCTGCCGGAGCGGTACCTATTTATCTACTTGCACTTTGACATGCTTTTGAACTGCTATGTTGGCAGGAGCTGGGACTGAGCAACAGGAGCTCACCCCATTGCGGGGATTCAAAGCGCCGACCTTCCAATCGGCAAGCCCTAGGCTCAGTGGTTTAGACCACAGCGCCACCCGCAGATTAGCCAAAGCCTAAATAGTCCAGCATCCTGGCTGCTCCCCACAGTTGCCAACCAATTATGCCTATGGGAAGTCCAAAAGCAGCACTTATGATCTATAAGGTGACATATAACCACCATGACCTTTGTAATTCTATAGTTGGTGAAATATTTTCAATTTCTGGGTGAACAAGGGCTATCCTAAGGGTACTTACCAAGTAATTAATTTATTAAAATACCTATTTATTTACATCATTTGTATACTGACCAATAACTAACATTTGTTCAAATATTATATAACCAATTTAGGGTAGTATCAGCTAAAAAAATGAGGCTTGTTCTTAATATCTTGGTTACAGTTGGCAACCATTATTAAATGAACACGCTCTGCTTCTCCTGTATAGCGCTCATACTAATTGAGTTGCTTTACATTAGAGCTGTCTATGGATGATTGAGTTCAGAATAGTATAACACTTAAAAGCATATTTTAACAAGCAGGTACTTGAGATTGTAACTGAGGCAAAAAATATTAATGTGGCTGTGGTTTTTCAGGTTTATACTATCAACTTAGAATCTCGATATTTGTTAATACAAGGTGTGCCTGCCCTGGGTGTTATGAAGGAATTAGTTGAGCAATTTGCATTGTATGGAACCATTGAAGAATATAACCCACTAGATGACTATCCAGCAGAAGAGTTTACAGAAGTTTACCTGATCAAGTTCCAAAAAATACAGAGTGCAAGGTATTTGTAATTTTTCAAAAATAGCCCATCTTCCTTTCCCCCACGACCCTATAGTAACTCAGTGTTGACTTTTTTGTTAAGTAATATTTGTGTGTAAGTTAAATGGATTTTTGTGATGCCATAACTGAACTTTGTTTTAGGATCAAACAGATTTTAAAATGTTTGCTGCTATAACTGGATAGTGTTTAATGTCTGACTTAACTTTCATCTTTGTTAGGATAGCCAAAAGAAAACTGGATGAACGGAGTTTCTTTGGCAGTTTGCTGCATGTGTGCTATGCTCCAGAATTTGAGACTATACAGGAGACTAGAGAGAAACTACAAGACAGGAGGAAGTATATAGCAAAAGCAACTAGTAGCAAAGGTTTGTGTCTGTATACTTCTCTAAAATTAAATGTCTTCGGTTTGTATGCTTAGTTAAATTTGAATTCATTCTGTATTACTCCAAATCCACCACAGTATGCTGTGCTACAAGGAAAGAGTAGAGGCAAACAGCATAACCAGTGCCAGAGATATCTGCAGGATGCAATTTGAATAATAGTTTATTAAAACAATCGTTTGCCTTTAACGGATGTATAAAGCTGTTAGACTACAAGCATACTAGCCATCAGTCTGACAGAACTATTGCTCAATTGTCATATATAAAATATGAAGGAAACCCTATCCACTGGCTACTTAGTCTAGTAGAAAAATGTTTTGACTCTCTTGTACTTAGCCATTATTACAATTTAATTTATATCCTACTCTTCCTCCTAAAGAGTGTAGGGTGGCAAGCACCAACTTTATAAAGCAAACCTGGCTCTTTCATTGCGATTTGTTCCAGGGTAAACTCAGGGCCAAACTAATATGATATTTAACACACCTTTGCATTTAACATGAACTTTTTTGAACTGTAAATTGGTGCCACATGCCTCTTCCCCCACAAGCAGGATTAAGTCCACAATAGGTGGAAAGTTTAAACAGTTTTTCTCCTTGGCGGTGTTTGTGGCAACACCTCTACTTTGGGAGGAACATTTCCATTTTGCCAATGAAAATTTTTAAGAATTAGCATAGTAGTTAAAACTAGTACTTGTCCTCTCTAAAATATGAACATTGAATTGTGCCTTCAGTGGCACAACGGGTCAGTGCATCTGGCTGTTAACCAGAAGGTTGGTGGTTTGAGCCCATCCAGGGTCGCTGTGAGCAGGATTTCTGCATTGCAGAAGATTTAACTAAATGACCCTTGGGAACCCTTCCAACTCCTATGATTCTAATACAAATGCCAGTATTAAAGTCAAATTATTCCACTGTAGCACAGTTGTACTCAAAAGTATTTTTGTGTAAAAATATTAGGTAGTCAAAATGTTAACGGCTTGTGTTTTATGTTTAAGATCAACTGCAGGTAAAGAATTCCAGTATAAGTTTTCAGAAGGCTGTGCAGCTAGATGCTTCTGGATCTTGTACATCTCAGGCAGCCACTAGTAACTGGAATCAATCTGTACATCTTGGTCATCCTCAGCAATCATCCTACTATGAATTGCCACTGAGAAGTGTAACATCTCCTTTAGGACAGCAATGTCAGAGTATGTTAGCAGCACCTCGGAATGTTAGTGACTGTGCTGAAGCAGCTGAGTGTTCAGGCCAGAGGACGCTAATGGCTCAGGGCTTGCAGCAAGGAGTTCACAATACATTAACCCACTGCGACCCGCAAAGAAAGGTTCCTTGTACTAATGGACTTGGCAGATTTATGCCTCGAACAACTCAGCTGCAGGAACGAAAGAGGAGACGAGATGAAGACAACAAACTTGCCCTTTTTGGAAAAGACATTAATAGTGAAGAAATAATTATTGGTCCAAGGTTACCAGAAACACCTAAAATAGACCTGGAGGATGAGTCATTGAACACCTCAGCAAACTTGATTCGTAATAAACTAAAGGAGGTATGCTATATTTTCAAAATATGTGGTCTGTAGTTCTGAAATTGGATAGCAGTTGTTTCATTAAGGTGATAAGCTGCTCTTCTATGTCTTATGTTGATTTCTTAAGCATAGCTACTTGAGAGAGGAATGAAGGACAAAGGTGACTCATATTCTTCTTGCATTAGAGAACTTTCATTTAAATGTTAATACTGTGCAGCTTAAGGGAAGGTTTGTAAAGTTGACTATTTGTGTTACTAGCTTGCTGGCACTTCTTGTTTATGGCTGTAGATTGGTCTAAAAATTATTAGCAAAAACAATGTTTCTTCGTATCCTAGGGGACCTTCTTTATTTTGGTTCTAAAAATAATTAGTGACACAATTTGTAGGGTGAAATGTAAATCGAGAAATAGCTGCAAGTCATTAGAAAATTTGCTTATTTGACTCCCTGCTGTACAGCTAGTTCAGTTAACTGTCTGGAAGATCTAGCTAGAGTAACTGCTTAATGAATAATTAAAATGTACTAAGTTTAGTTTCCTCTTTCCATATTAGGTTGTGGTTCCTGTTCAGACTCCAGTTCAAACTCCAGATCTATCTGGTGGAATATCAGTGAATAGTCAAGCAAAGCCAACATTAAAGCAAAGACGACGAATATAGTTCTTACTAGAAAGTATGGCTTGATCTGGCATAATTAAAGTATTTTTGTACATTTTATTTAATAAACTTAGCAATTATGCTGAAATTCAACTAAAATGTACCTTGTTCCATTGTTTTTGTAGTCCTTATGAATGTATTGCTTCACAAGAATGTAGACACATCAAAATATTTTCCATTAATGTCTTACTGGTTTTTCTAGCAAGTATATTGAAATGAAGGCATTATGAAAATAGAGGAAAAGGTATAGAGAAAAATATTTCTGACTTGCCTTTACTTAAAAAGATTTTCAAGGACATTCACATAGTATAAGTCATTTGTAGAGCTACAGATCGGGACTATCTTGGAATGCTTGTGATTCAAATGCCATTCTGCACTGTAAAGTAAAATGAGAATGTTTTTTAAAATAAGTATTTATTATATGATTAGTCTTATACAATATAAAATACCTTTGAAGCTTAAAACATTAACATTATACTTTAACAGTAATTTTTTAATACTTTTCTCTTATATCAAGGAATCTTTATTATGCCTTTATTGTGCATGCCCCAGTGGGATTTCTGCTCCTTCCAATGTGAACAGCAAACTCCCATGCCATATCACAACTTGTTCTCGAGGCTCCCATCAATTAAAAAACAACAACATGCCCCGTTCGCAACATGAGCAGAACGCAACCCATGTCTGCGGGTCGCGATTCGCTGCTTCTGCACATGTGCGTGACGTCATTTTGAGCGTCTGCACATGTGTGAGCGGCGAAACCTGGAAGTAACCCATTCCGTTACTTCTGGGTCGCCGCGGGATGCAACGTGAAAAGATGTAACCTGAACTGAACATAACAAGTATGACTGTACTTGGGAGTTTCTGGGCTTGTGCTTCTGAAAACACCCATAACCAAACTTCTTTCTATCCTGATTTTTCACTTTTTTAAAAAAGAAATAAATACTGTATTTTGAAATGTAGCCCTGTGCCATGGCCAAGTATGACCCCCAAGGCACCTAGACAGAAAGGTGTTAACAGTGTTTGCAAACTGTTTAACAGTTTGTAGAAATGTGAACATGTTCTTCAGGTTCCATACAACTTGCTCTGGGACAGCATTTATTAAGTTTTTATCTAAGTACAGTGTGGTATTTTTGGCAGGAAATTGGAGGCATTTCTGTTTCTTTTGAATCACTGCCCAGAGGCCAGCAGTAGTCCCAAACTGCAAACTTGGTTCTTTGGGGGGGGGGGAGTGCAACCCTATCAAGAACTAGTTGTAGACTTCCATCCATGGTGGTTAGTGTCCCACCCTCAACGCCTCTGAGAATCATTGTCACCACAGCTACATTCCACCTGTGTCAAACCTGGTCAGCCAAACCACCCAGAATGACACTATGGTTTATGATATTGCAAGCCTCTGAGGTTGCAGAGAACTGATAAAGCTGTGTCCCCCCCTTATATTCAGAAGAAGGAAAGCTGTTCTTCCCAAAACTAGGAAGAAAAACTTTGGAATGGATCCAAATAACCAGCGTTATCCAATACTGCCTGGAGTTGTCCAGCTGTCACATGCACCACCACCTTGCCCAAGAATAGAATATTTAAAACAAGGTGGTAGTTCTCCCCCAAAAATTGGCTATTTAAAAGGGGAGCCTACTAGTGCCTCTTGAAGGGCAGCAGGAACCATATCATCTCAAGGAGACATTCACTACCTCTACACACCCAGCGCACGTCTGGCAGATCTCAATAATCAGGAAAGGTAAACAGTAAACAGTTTCTAGTAAACAGTTTCTCCAAGCAGATTGTGTCAGCATATTGCACAAGCTGAAGGGTATCCATAACAACATGACTAGGCAGCCCAGAAGCTTCACCTGCCTCTGATTGTATCAACTCTGGCATTTATAGATTGCATAAATACCTTTATATCAGGTAAGCATGGTCCAAATGCTTCTAAAAGGAGGTTTTCATCTCTCACAGCGTTTTCGAAATCCGCATAAGAGAGTTTGCCGTCATGGTCATAGTCCTGCAAAAGCAGGTATTTTTAGTTAATTCAGTTGCATTTAGGATGCACATACATTTAACTGAGTAAGCCTCATTGAACCCAATGGGCTTATTTTGAGTAGAGATACAAATGCACTGTCAGCTTGCTAGCATAGTATAATGAAATGCTTTTGGCTACTATTGTATATGTTTCTCTGCCTTGCTGATGCCTTTAGAAGTATTTTGCTCCAATTCTTGCAAGCACTTTAACCTGGTATTGCCAATTAGTATACTCAGGAGATGGTCTGCTGAATTATCTTTTTAGGTATTCTTGGAGAGATTGAATCAATTTGTGCTTCTTTTTCATCTGTAAAAATGTGGGTGCAGAGCTTCTCTTACCATAAACCAATAGTTCATATGAGCACATTATAGATACAAGCACAAAAGCTACAAAAGCACGAGAAACTATATATTTACATTACAATACTTGCCATTTTCTTCAAGGTAATTTCTACTAAATCTTTAATTCCTTCATCAGGATCTTCTTCTGATGGCTGCTTTAGCAGGCTGTTCTTCAGCATATGAAACATTTCCTCCCGTGAAATATATCCATCACTATTCATGTCATAGACCTCAAAACAATCTTTGGAAAGGACAAATGATTTAATGTAAAGCAGGCATACATATCAAATAAAGCACTTTTACATAATGAGAGAACTTAGCTGATACTAGGTTATATTTAAAGTAAGTAAACCAAGAACTGCTCTGTTGATGCCAATTTTTAGACATTTTGTGGAATTCCCCCCTCCCCCAAATAAGCTGCTGCATATTTATAGTCAAATATCATATATTGGCTTTAAATCAACCTAACTCTATACACCCCTAAGCTAGACACTTACTTCCTGTTTATTCATACATTTACTTTTCTTTTGCATTTCCTGCAGGACCACCTACCTTTTGTGAAATGTGTGTGTGTGAGAGAGAGAGAGAAAATGAAGTGAATCCTAAGACTGATAACAGGAAACATTTTATCTATGTACCTTATATAGTCAGACACAATACCAGATTTTGGAAAGCAAATTATTTGAAAACAAACTCAGTATTACAGTAGACTGGCCATTCCCAAAATGATATATACTCTATGGTAGTGAAGGCAGTATAGTTTGTGATGGAATACATGACAACAAGTACTTTGTAAAAACAGCTGCAGAAGGAGTGGCTATAAGAGCGGCCTTCTCATTCTTACCTAAAGGACCTAAACTACAAACTAGGATGGTTCCTAAGTTCTGGGTTCACAGTCAGGGAATTTTGTAGTGTTGGAATTAAACCGAGACGATATGGGTTCAAATCCCTATTCAAAAACAAAATGTCTCGATATTTCCCCCCATTGATTTAAAGGATTGATTCTTATTGTTTTGTTGTACTGTATTCTCTTGTTATGATGCAAATAACAACATTGTGAAGCAATGTTGGTTCACAGCTGGAAAATGGATCATCATATAAACTAAATTAAACTTAGGGCCTGTCCTAAGTTTAATTTGGCCTCATCTACTTACAGGGTTTTCAACAATAAAAGCACAAGACTGATGAACCACATATGCCACCTGAGCGCTTTGAAAGAAAGGCGGGATAAAAATGTAGTAAAATGAGTGATGAAACATTCCTATTTTTAAAAGTAAATCGCTCGCATACTTTAGCTCATTTAGCTCATTTAAATTGTCTTAGATTTAAAGACTAGCGTAAAAACCTGCTAATAGTATGGAAACCTTACATTTTATTTTTTCCTCCAGTGTCCCCCGAAGAAATATTGATAAACCTTCTACCCATTCTGTTACACTGACACAGCTGTCATTGTCTTTATCAAAAGCACGGAACACTGAAAGGAGAAGAAAAGTTATGGTATATTTCAAAATACTGTAAATTATTTGCAGCAAAGTAATCGCTCACGACTGGACCTAATGGTCAGGGGTCCCTTTACCTTTCTTCAATCGCTCACCCAATGTCTTTGTGTCTTACAAAATATATGGTTCAAATACACAAGAATTCCTTTAGAAATTTCAAAACAATTCTTCATCCACAAGTTCTTTGGACCCAGAGGAACTTTAGATTTGTAGCTCTCAAAAAAACAGCTTCCCCTTTCATATAGCTAATTGTATTTGAAACGGAGGGGTTTTTCAAAAGCAGCTTCTGATGTGGCATACAGAGGAGGGGAGGGGGTCTCTTGTTCAAAAGAAAAACAAATCCTACAGGGCCCATGACCTCTTTGTAAACCTAAAGTAGCATTTGGATCCAAGTCATAATGCTGGAACAATTCTGTGTCACCAAGTGGGAGTTTTAAAAACACGGTTATGTAATTTAGTAACCATAGCTTCTGATGACATTTTAACAGCTGTAGTGTACTTTACACTTTAACTGCTACTCATCTAAATTGCCTCATTAGAGCAACAGAAACGTTCTTGTCATGCTACACAATGCTGCACAGAGCAAGGACTTAGACATACACTGACTACTGCTCAAAATGAGTTAGTATAATGTGTCTAATGCAAATATCTCCACTATTCTATGCCAATAAACTGATATTGGGGGAAGATTGCTACTTTGAACAGACATTTTCAGCAAATTAGAATAAGCTGAATTATTGCAAGTTAATGTTTGGAGGAACAGTTAAGAACTATAACTTGAAGTGATTGTTCTTGAGCTTGCATTTCCATCCTCCCATTTCTTTTTCTTTGTGTGCCATATCTTTTTGAATTGTGAGGTTTGGCTTTGTACCAATTTATTTTAAATAGCTCTTATGGTCTTGTTGGCTAAAGGGCAGGGTATAAATGCCTTATGCTGTTGGCAACCATCTGTCTCAGGAGACAATGGAGGAGTGTGCCTTTGGAGGTAAAGTCAAACGGTTGGAAGGTTACAGTGCCTGCTGTAGCTATAGAGACCATTACAGGAGAGACATGTTTTGTTGCAGCTGGGACAGATGAAGGTGTCTGGTTGTGCTGCTGCAGACGCACCATGGTGTTTCTTCTCTCTGTGTTCCTCCCAGCGGCCATTCCTCATCTGGCCATTGCTAGGGATGCATCACCTGACTCTCTGTCTCCAGGCACTTTCATCTGCAAAGGATTCCCACACAGCAGGGTTGATGTTGCCAGCCTTCATGTTACATTTGCAGACATCTTTGTAACACACAGTTGGTCTGTCAACAGGCATGGTGCCTGAAATCAGCTCCCTGTAGAGCACGTCCTTTGGGATCCTGCCATCTTCCATTCTGTGGACATGACCAAGCCAGCACAGATGTCTCTGAGACAGGAGTGTGAACACGCTGAGAATGTGGGCTTTGGAGAGCACATCTTTGTTTGAAACTCTGTCCTGTCTTGTGATATCCCAAAATTTTCCTGACACAGCACATGTGGAAGGTGTTGAGGCATCGCTTCTGATGGTTGTAAATTGCTGTGGGCTAAACCACAGAGCCTAGGGCTTGCTGATCAGATGGTCGGCGGTTCGAATCCCCGGGACGGGATGAGCTCCCGTTGCTCGATCCCTGCTCCTGCCAACCTAGCAGTTCGAAAGCACGTCAAAGTGCAAATAGATAAATAGGTACCGCTCCGGCGTGAAGGTAAACGGCGCTTTCGTGCGCTGCCCTGGTTTGCCAGAAGCGGCTTAGTCATGCTGGCCACATGACCCAGAAGCTGTACGCCGGCTCCCTCAGCCAATAAAGCGAGATGAGCACCACAACCCCAGAGTCGGTCATGACTGGACCTAATGGTCAGGGGTCCCTTTACCTTTACCACTTCCATAAAGCAGCATGCTCAACATGCAAGCCTGGCAGATTTTCATCTTGGTATTGAACGTGTCACATTCTCCCACACCCTTTGGGAGAGGTGAGCCTCACATGCATACATAAATACTGCACTGTCCAGAAAGATCAACTCCTCTCTTCCCTCCCCACCAAACTAGACTCGAAATAAGTTAGAATATTCTTTGTAACCCTAATTGTTGGAGTGGGGGTGGGGAATGTGCATGCGAGTGGCAGTGGAGCATGCAAGCATGCACAATTGCAGTGAATGTGAAGCATGTGTGCATCAATGACTGCAGTGTATGTTGTGCCCACAATAGCTTCTCAGACTCCCAAATGTTCCCCCACTGTCCCAAAAAGGATGGTGGTCCCCGAGCTACATAGCAACTTGTATAGCAATATTTGTATTGGTGCCATTTTTGAGTTGCTCCAAAACCACATTATAAACGGCAAACACAAACAGTACTCCCAGTACCTACCTATTACTCATGCATATTCATGGGTTGTTATTAGTAACAAACAGTAAAGCATTTAATGTAATACCAGAACAATTATTATCATGTGTCCTATTGATGTTGTGAATAACTATAGGGTACTGGAATAGAAATGTTTTCAAAACTATGCGAGATGCTATTTTAATAGATGTTTTACATATATCACAATTTTGCAAGAATTTATGTAATCTCACCTCTGTCCATAATCATGTCATCTGTCATACCAAATGTGACATGCAGGATATTTCGAAAGGAGTTACGATCCAAACCAACAGCAGCATGCCGGTCGCTGGGTTCCACCCCCAAATTGTTGAAAAGCTTTATAAGACATTCCACTTCAAATTTATTGACTATGAAATAAAATAGAAGTTATGGCAATAAGCAAGTGGTAAAAAAGGAAAAATATCCACAATATTTATAGCCTGTTCTGGTATGCTTTCCCCAGGAAGTCTTGTCCAGGGTGGAATCCTTTTGGCATCAGATACAGACCTTTTAATTTGCTCAGGCCTCTTTGACATTGCAGATCTTTCTGAGTAGGCATGTCTAGGATTGTGCGATATATCTTCATAACAACAGTACATTTATTGAAAGGGGTTCAGTCACAACCTGGCCTTTAGCATGGTTTTGAAAGTTAGTTACAACTCTTGGGTAGCTGCAATGTGGCAGACATGTTTTTATATATACACACACAAACAATTCTACCCCCCTTTCCCTCCCAAAGGAGATACTGAAAGCAGCTAACAAAGCATAACAAAACCCCCACAATACCTCTTAAAACGCTAAATATATGCCGAACACAATCCAGGAGAGAAAAAACAGCATTAAAAATAGGGGTTAAAAATAGGGATCTCAGAGCCAAAAGATAAAAAAAGCCATAAAACCGAAAGCTTGTTTAAAAAGAAAAGGCTTCAGACACCAGGGGAATTGAGCTGAAAGAGAAATAGGATCTAACCTTGCAAGACAAGACATTCTGCCTACAGGGCACTGTGTTGTCACCAAACGCACCTCAAAAAGCAAGAGAGCACATTCACCTGGGAGGAGACCCATGTTGATATAGTGACAAATTAAAAAGAACAGCACACAATGGGCATTGGAAAACACGGGCTCCTCTGAGCAACCAAAGGAATACGCTGGGTTTCTAGCTCGATGGTGGAATCCTGTGCATGTCTACTCAGAAGTTATCAATGGGGAAAACACCCAAGGTAGAATTGCAACCTGAAAAAGAAATTTTGGGGTTGCTGAATGCTGCCTTTCTTGGGAGTTGCTGAAACTGGGTTCCCAGCCAATGTTGAGGGCCATATCCTACACAGCTAAAACTATGTGTGGACCTTGGGGGCCCCGTGTATGCTTTCATTATTGCATTTCTACGCTGCCTTCCTCTGTGGAGGTCAGCGGGGCCCTGCTTTATCCGCTCAACAACACCCCTGTGGGGTAGGTTAGGTCATGCGAGCTACCTCACAGGGCGCACCCACGAACACGCGTGTTAACCGGGGCTCCCTGGTGGCCTCGCTCCGACGCCCTGAACGACTGACCGCGTGTAAAAAGGGCAAATGCTGCGGGGACAGCCATTTTTAAAAACAAATTTTTGGCGGGAGTGGGGAAGGGAAGGCCCGCCTGCCACTCACAGTGCCTCGCGGTTCTGCACAGCGACTCGGCGAGCTTCTGCTGCTTCTTCCTGTTCATCTCGGGGCTCCTCGGGCGACCGCGGACGCCACAAGCCGCCACGCGGTGGCCGTGGCAACAGAGGCTCCGCCCGGCCGGCCGCTCCCGACGCGAGAGGCCCAATGCAAGGCGGCGGGCGGTCCCGACCCTCTTAAGGCTCTCTTTAGGCTGGCAACGTTTGCCGCCCTGGGGCTCGCCCTTCCCTCGGTCACTCTGCTCCTTGTTTATGGCGTTTTCAGGGTCCGAAGTGAACCAAGGAGGAATAGCCTGAGGCAAGGAAACTCAGGGCGGAAGGCGGGCTGCTTGGCTACCGTGGGGACTATGGACATTGAATAAAATAAACTGGAGGAGGGAGAATATATAATACGGCATATATAGCACCAGACCGACATCCCCGCCCCAGACCCTCGTTACCCGCCCCACTGATTTGTATGGGGCTAGGATTAAGCTGTAATTAAGACCCCCCAAAAAGAGCAAGTAACTTCTTTGTCCTTTGGAGCCAGCTGCTCCCACCATTCTTTCTACTTGGCTGCTGACAAAATCCTGCATGTTTCAATGATGCTTTCATGTGCAGGGATCCCCAGGTCTAAATGCTCACCTGTAACAATTCGCTTTCCACCGATATCTAAAGCTGGTGTGAGCCTAGGTGCGACTCAGCATGATTTTGGCCAGATGTATTGGGCTCATTTTTAGTTTGCAGGTTTTGGGAACGCACCTTACAGTCAGTGGCGTAGTGTGGGTTGTCAGCACCCAGGGCAAGGCAAGTAATTTGCGCCCCCTAACCCGTGGATTTGCGCCCCCTAACCCGTGGATTTACCCTAACCCCAGATGTTGCGCCCGGTGCGGCTGGCCCCCCCTGCACCCCCCACGCTACGCCACTGCTTACAGTACAGAGTCTAGAACTGTGGTTCCCAACGTGGGGCACACGCCCCACAGGGTGGCAATTTGATTTTAAAGGGGGGCAATTAGAGAATGTGTTATTAACAGTGGATGGCCTTTTAGGCGTTCTCTATGTGAACATGAGTTCACTTTTTCAATAATAAGAATTATATGTCACGGGGGGGTGTGCTTCAGGATTTTAGAGATGCTTAGGTGGGGCATGGCCAAAAAAAGGTTAGGAACCACTGGTCTAGAATCTCTGTTCATTCTGCCCTATGGCTAGAAATGGTAAGCAAACACTGTTTTCCAAGGAAGCTGTGCAGTATTACTGTTATCTTCAAAGAATTCAATGATAAACTTCCAAGTAATCCTCATGCTACACATAGTTATCTGAAAAGTAATCTGTGTATAGCCTACACCAGTTTTAGACAGCCCAAGATCACTTTACGTATGTATGGCTTTGAGTCAAAAGGAACTTAGGATTTCCCACAAGATAGTACATCCCACCATAGTACTGGACGCCATCTTGACAGCAATTTGCTTTTTTAAAAAACTTCTGCACCACAAGAAGCTGGTGGGAGGAGGTATCCAACCTTGAGACCCACTGTTTTTTCTCCCTGTGTTCTGAAAAGGCTAACAAAACAGGCTTTCTGAGAATAGTAACAATTTACTTTCTACCTTTGCAGTGACCTAAATTAATACAATGGAAGCTCGGGTTGCAGATGTAATCCGTGACGGAGGCACGTCCGCAACCCGCAGCGTTCGTAATCTGCAGCGCCGTGTCTGCGCATGTGTGTGATGCGATTTGGTGCTTCTGGGCATGTGCAAGCAGTGAAACCCGGAAGTAACCCTTTCTGGTACTTCCGGGTTTCCCACGGTCTGTAACTGGAAAACGCCTAACCTGAAGCGTCTGTAACCCGAGGTATCACTGTATTTTTCTGCTCATCTGCTTAACAGGGAGCTGAAGAAGCAAGCATTACTCAATCTTAGGGCTGGTCCCTATGGAGAGGCAAATTTATATAGCTCATTGCGGCTATTCCTGTTACCATAGCATGCATATGGTGCTACACTTTATTTCTGGGGAAAAAACACACCAATACAGTTGTTTGGACACACTCTGCCTCTCCCTATTTCCAGTCCACCTGTCTTGACACACACAGAGACAATGCAGAAATGAATAATTTTTCCAAACATTCTTTACTATGTGTCTGGCAGTAATTTTGAATACCAAGACATAGTTGCATAACAGGTCTGCCACGGAACTTGTGTAGAGTAAAATCAGCTTCAATATGAAGCTGTTGGATATCATTCCCTCAGCTTTTTACATGCTAAATATCTTCAGCAAGTGTGCATTTAAAACATAGGCATGGATGCAATAAAAATCTGTAAGTAATGCTGCATGTGAAACATAATTAATTTTTTTAAAAATCCCATCGATTACAACTGTATTTCTCTATTGGTTAATTTAAAAATGGGACAAAATCATGCAGAACATTAATTCTAAATACCTTAATGACAACACAAATAATAATAATAATAAATGCAACAGTGTTTGCTGGGGCGGGGGGAGAAATCAATTAACTCAATGCCACCTCAAATAATGTTAAGTACTCAGTATTATTTTGATTCAACAGGGGTAAAATCCTCACTTTTGGGGTGTCAGCTATGCCACTTTAGGCTGGTGTTTTCTTGCTTATCCCAGCAGCATGTGCTACAGGTTCTGAATAAATCAAGGACCAGACTAGATGGGAACAGACAAATCGCATTTGTTTGCGTGCCTGTTCATGCATAAAGAGGCAGGGAGAGGAGGGTAGGGTCTTTTTTAAACAGCAAAAGTTGGGGGTAGCCTCTCTTCCCACCCACCCCCACCCTCCTGTGTCACCTCTCCAAGTTTTGTTGCTCTATGTACTGTTCCCCCGGCTCAGCTCCAATACCAGAAGTGAGCCAGACAAGGGGGGGGGGGAGCAATGAAGCACAACAGAGAAGGCTGCCACATTTCAGCTCTCCTCAGTCACATGTGGTTTTTGTTATAAAAATTAGACACTCCACACTATTATACGTGAATGGGGTGGCCATGTAAATTAACAAAAGCGACTGTCCCCAGTCGCATCTAGCTTTTCCGTAACCAGTCATCAACACAACTGCTCTTCTGCGGGTCCTATTTAGTTTTCACAGGGAAAGGTCTTCTCTGTGGAATCTACCCCATATTCAGAAATAAAAATGGCTGCTTAAAGTACCCTTGGAAGCACAGCAACAGCATCAGCAAACACTGGTGCTGCTTGCAAGGATTCAAAATAAGCTGTCTGATCCAAGAGAACACAAACATCCATGCCCCCCCCCACTTAAAAAAAAAGAAGAGCAAAATTATGATACATACACACAAACTGACATTTGTACAGGTTACTGACATATTCCTGTTTCAAAAAATGGCATCAGTAGTAATGAAATGTCACAGGAGTTGCTATGCTGTGTTCATCTTTGATAATGAATTTTGCATATTTGTAAAAAAATATAATGAAAATTTAACCACCCGTTCAAAAATAAAAACACCCAAGTTCATTGTTTGCTTTATGGGAAGAGGTGCACAGGCAGGGTGTCCCGTCCGTAAGGGCTGGCCCAGTCATTACAGTAAACGGCTGATCTACATGCACAGTTGTTTACGTGTGTGAATCGGGGCCTTCCATTAAAATGCAGGGTGACCCATGGGTGCAGGGTGCACATACAAAGACCCTGGAATGGGCAAACCCTTTTCTTGTACCAACCCTATTTTGCACTGCTGTTACATCATTAAGCCATGTGCAGGGCTTATTTCAAAACATTAAACGCCAGTCACCGGGGCCGAGGGGAGTGGGGAATACTACATATATTTAAGCATCAGGCAACAACAATGGCTATTTCCAGCCCAACTGCACTGGGCAAGCTGAAAGTTTAGAATATTGTTAATACACAAGAGAACTCATGCAGTTTGGTAAAGTTTTGTCGTAATTTTCACAGTTGCAGTTCTCTCTAGTCTCATTGCACTTTTGATAAGAAGGTGTTGGGGGGGAAGAGTCTTGACTGAAGTTATTCTGAGTAAGAGCTTGAGCTGGCCGTCTTCTTTTTTTTCTTTTTGCCATGTTTCTTGTGCTTCTTCCGTTTTTTTGTTTTATCCTTTAAGAAAATGTAAAATATCATGAACGGTCACAGGATACTGCAGTCGATTCGCTCAGATATAGGCCCCGACTAAGCATATGTGTTTTCAAAGGAAGGATTAACCAAAACTATTCTGAAATTAAACCAAATAGAGAGTAACACCCACTAAGCAAAACAGTGTTTGAGGCCCCAGTGTCAAACCTGGGCATATCAAATAAGCTGGAGAAAAATCTAGCTAAAAATCCAGGCGATGTTGTTTGGAAACCTTTTGCCAAGCAAGCACAGTTGGCAGCACTGTCTTTAATGGTCTGATTCAATGCAAATTCATTGTTTAGGTCCTTATTTCTGTGCCATATACAAAGTCAGGATAAGTAGGATATAAAGCAATGCAGCCAGTCAGGTGATTGCCACCCTCAGCTCATTGGGGAGAAAGGGGAGGGATGTAAATTTAATAAATCAATAAATAAAATTCTGCTCTCATTTATGCCAAAATGCTTACGTCAGAGAAACTCCAGGAGGAGTTTGTGCCAACACATATTTATGCAAGTCTTAAATTTAAAATCAGTTTTTGTTGGAGGTTATTTGATAAGCAGGAAAATGCTTACATTTTTCTCTTTTTCTTCACTGGTTTTCTTCTTTTTTGCTGGTACCTACGTGGAGAGGAGCAGAGTAATATTTTCAAATATGCTGAAATACACATACAACAGCAAAATACCAATATTGTCTAGTACTGCTGTGGAGAAATAACATTTCCTGTTCTCTCAAATATGCAGAAATCTTCATTTTTCCAGCTATAAAGTATGCTATCCTGTACACAGCTTCACAATTCTTACTTTTTTTTCAGGTATGGTGTGTGTGTGGCAATTAAAAAGCTTCCACAGAGGCCCATACTAGGAACATCCAGGTGGGAAGGATGTCCTGCTCATATGATTTATTCATTCACATTCACCTGGAATGGCACATATGACAAAATAGCTCCCATATCTCTGAAGGGACAAGTTGAACAGGATGTTTATTTGCTAAATTCATTTGTTTTTACATTAGCTTTTGGCTTTATAGGCATACCAACCTCCTCTGTGTGTTCTGATTCTGATGAGGACTCTGTCGATAACATGCCATCCCCATGATCTGCTTTTTTCCTTTTCCTTTCAAGACTTTTGGTATCCTATGAAAGATAAAAGCCACATTTTGTGTACTGAACAATCAGAGGAATATACAGTGGTACCTCGGGTTACAAACACCTCGGGTTACAAACACTTTGGGTTACAGACTCCGCTAACCCGGAAGCAGTACCTTGGGTTAAGAACTTTAC